GTTCCGTGGGAGAAAGATGAGGCTTTCTGGTTCCATAAAGATTTACAGCCTGGGACACCCTGTGCAGGGTCGCTATGAGTCAGAACCGACTCCACGGTATATCACAACAACAACAGGGAATGCAAGGGGAGAACGGTGGCTCTGTATATGATGAACACTGGATTGAGAACCACAAGGTCAGTGGTTCAAGTCCATCAGCTTCTCTGAGAGAGAAGGATAAGGCTTTATGGCTCCCCCACAATTTATAGCCTCAGAAACCTTATGTAGGGTCCTTACGAACCGTAACCCACTTGATGGTACTTAACAACGACAGGGACAACACATTTTCCTTTTCCCTCTGTGAGCTTCCATTTCTCATTGGCTGGCTGTTACCCTTACAGATGTTACCCCAGCTTACAGCCATGTAAGGTTTGCATCCTGCATCGATCGTTTTAGCAACGGAGTCCACAAGGTAGCCACTGATTCCAAAATCACACATCTTCACTTGGCCCAGAGCGTTGATCAGTACGTTTGAAGGCTTGACGTCTGAAAGAGAGAACAACCAGGAACCCATGATTCCCAATGAAGTTCCACGTGTCCACCACCAGAGGGCCAGAAATCTCCATTTCTCCAGCTTCCCAGCCCCACAGAGCCCAATGCTGAAGCATCTGCTTTTCCTGACTCACAGTGACATAGCTGCCAAGTGTTCTAAACCTGAGTTCCTAGTTCCTGTAAGATTGTGGATCTGTCCATGGAAAGACTTGTTTCCTCTACTTATTGTATCATCTCCATTGTCCCGTATGTGCGTTAAGAATTTGAAGAAAGTATTAGTGAAATCAAGGAGCACGGTGGCTCCATACAGTAAGCACTGGACTGTGAACCACAAGGTCTGCAGTTCAAGCCTGCCAACTGCTCCGCGGGAGAAAGAGGAGGCTTTCTGTGTCCCCTAAGATTTAAAAAGTCTCAGAAACCCTATACAGGGGCGCTATGAGTTAGAATCGACTTGAAGGCATTTAACAACAACGTTACTGAATCCAACACAAAGTCAAAACTGTAGGGTAGATATTTAGTGTTGGAGTAATTGATTATGGCATGGCAAAGGTAGAGACTGATATAATAAGGCACCAAACCTGGTCAAGGCAAGCAGTTTTAACAGAAAACTCTGCAAAAGCTGTATCAGTTTGTATAATGTATATAAAACTGTGGCAGCTCACAGAATACAGACAGTCCCTGACTTACAACAGGGTTTGTTCTGATGACACCATCGTAATTTGGGTCTAACAAAAGTCAAACACTTTTCTGTTTTTTGTAGTTTTCATTATTATTTCATTTTATTACCAGTATCTATAAATCCAATTTTGTTTTTGGACATCTGTGAGTGAACATCTGAGAATGAGGAGATCAGCAAAGTATGCTCTGCAAACATTGTATGTAGTGCACG